GATCAGACGTCAACATGGCGGCCAGAAAATCAAAAAATTTTGATTTTTGTTCACATTTTCCTCAAACGGCTTGCCAAACCTTCAAACACCCCCATACACAACATAAATAGCTTTAAGGAAAGGGATATTTCGCTTGGTTTGTCAAGCCGCTTGTGTCGTGTTTTTCGCTCTTCAGCACATCTGCATTTGCTGCTAAATATTCAAAATGTTATTGATAATATTGTTCATTCCATCCATCATTCCATCGTTATATTTTCAACTTATTTTAAACTTGCAAAATTTCGGTAACGAATGGAGAGAACACGCATTGTTCGGTCATAAGGATATTCATATTGACTCCTCATTAGATCCAGAAAATTATAGGAAAAATTTTTGAATTCAAAAATTCTTCAGGTTCATATAAGTTTCCCAATTTAAAAAAATTATATCTGCATTACTAATATAGCCCTTTTCTAATGCTTCAGTAGAACGTATATTTAGTAGTAAAAATGTGAAGGACTGACTTGAGGACCAGACTGATCACTGACATAGTTGCAGCAATATTATATACAAACCAAGGCATAAAAAATAACGGTGATACTTTGTTTGAACCTGTAAATAGTATGCAGTACACAATACTCATATCTGTAATAAGAAAATTTTGAGTAATTTGTTCGGATTTTGAGGATTCTTCGTTTGTGTTTGAGGAATTTGGTAATTTTTTTGTGGCAACACTGATTAATACTAGAATTTGGATTTTCTATACACTTTCTTAGAAAATTTTGCTCCGAACAAATTACTCCGGCCTAACATTAGCGCAGACAAGAGGTTTCAAACCTCAATTTCTTTTTCATTTCTTGTGCTTCATTTTATACGAATTTTTCGTTTTTCTTGAGAGCTCATAAAATTGTAACTGCTAATGAAAACATTGTCCTGAAAATATGCAATGCATACTCACTTTCTATTGTTTTTTACACTTTACAGCCTAAAAGAGTTTACCACTAATATGTACTTAACAAGGATGTGAAGATTTAATTTNGTTGCTGGAAAAAGCACTTTGCTTTTGCTGTAAATTTGTGAAGAAATAAATATACGAGCATTATTTTCTCTACAGCTGCAAACTGATTTAAGTAGTTTTGATAGACGTAAATTTCTTTTTCATTTCTTGTGCTTCATTTTATACGAATTTTTCGTTTTTCTTGAGAGCTCATAAAATTGTAACTGCTAATGAAAACATTGTCCTGAAAATATGCAATGCATACTCACTTTCTATTGTTTTTTACACTTTACAGCCTAAAAGAGTTTACCACTAATATGTACTTAACAAGGATGTGAAGATTTAATTTGCCAACTTCGAATTCGTTCCACCAAAATGCGCCCTATCATACATACATATCTACAGTATATTTTGCTTAGCTGCCCATCCTTCTTTGCCTGAAAAACTTGTGCGCTTAACCGAAAAAAGCACTTAAGCGAATTGGATTTACTACTTCAAGGAGGAAGGTATCCGAATCCCTATGAAACCAAATAATGTAGGTACCACGAAGGAATTACTGCAAGCGAAATTTTTTCCGAATGGTATCTAATTATCTGTATAACTACATAAAATGATAGCCGTTTTCGTTGTTCTGCGAGATGAACAAAATAAAGAAAACCTTGTAAAATTAGGGTAAGTGTAGAGCCAGTGCAGGTTAACGTAATACTTTCTTGGATAATTGATAATAGTTGCAAATTTTTAAGACAGGTATCGCTAATGTGTAGGTATGTCGAATGCATCTATCGGAACAATTTCCTTATAAATGTTAAAAATAATGCCGCTAATGCACATTTTTGGATAGGTATCTTAAATGTGCACTTAAGCACAAAAGCAGCAAAGCAAAATATACTGAATATACTTTTAACATATGTATATTTTTTTCAAAATATTTCGTTATGAAATTTCAAGGATGTTTAAGGATGCATTTTTTAAAGGGCATTACTGTAGTACTACATTCGTCTAGCGAAAAGTAGATATACACATTCTTTTTCGGTTGTTATCCACGTTAATATATTGGAGTGAGTATAAGTTTGAAACTATTATTTGAAAAATTTAGTCCCTTGAAAATTTAAATTTTTTTTAAAGACTTCGAAATTTAAAAAATATGATTATTTCAAAAATTCAGTGCAATGTAGGATAACAGTATGGGTATCGTATAAAAAAATCTGTAGAATTATAACGGAATAAATTTTTTTACAAATTTTGTCCTAAAATATCATGAAAATTTGCAATATTTTTTTTTTTATTATTGTTTGAGGACTAATATAGATACGCATCGAATTTCGTCCTGCAAACTTTATTAACTTGAAAAGATAAATTTATAAATAGCACATTTTCAATACCTTTTCGTCCTTGTAAACCAGACATTTTATTGTTCTTAAATTCTACAGAATTTTTGCATTATTTTTTTTTTATATTTATTTGAATTAATCACATCTTTAAAATTTCAAAGTCCTCTGAAAAAAAATCCTGACGTCAGAGTGAAAAGCTAAAAACACAGTTTTACTATATTTATACCATAGTTTCGTGGGTATATCGATTCTTTCGTGTGTTTTGAAATTTTTTTGTTTAGGGAATTGATAAATTGAGAATCAAAATTATCAGAACCATATTAAATTAGTTTTTCAATAAAAATTCAATTGAAGAAAGTTTACAAAAAGTCTAATTTTAAAATTATAACATGCTTAAGTTTCAGAATTCCAAATATTTTTTATTTAAACTAATTTAAACCATCACAGTTCCAACCGAAATCCAAGAAGTAAAAAAATTTAATAATTTCATAAGCACACTTTTAATGGTTCTATCTGTGAAGCTACACATTTTTATTAAACACGAATTAAAGGGAATAACCTACTTTAATTTAAGCGACCCAACGCAGTTTGAAAGGTATCTAAATGCAGTGCATATTCAACAAGGTAGGAGTTATTTCCACAGTCCTCCCTCTCGAACTATAATGCAAATTGAATTGCAAACAATTCTTCTTGTTGAAAATATGCATAGTATAGTAAGCACAAAAATATTTGGGGTATTCACAACGGTGTCGTAAGTGTCGTGTTGTTGTATGTTGCAAACTTTAAACGCCTAAAAAATATATTAAAGGGGTCCGTAAAGTACCATCAAAGTCATATTATGAATTTTTGTGGTGTTAAATAATAGTTGGTTGTCGTTTCGAGTTCTCTAAGCATTTATTTAAGCTTTTAAAGTTTACGATATACAACAATACGACACTTACGACACCTTTGTGAATCCCTCATTTATGATAAAAACGCTCATAGGCTTCATAAGTTATCGTTTATCGTTGATCACTAGTTTCTCATAATATTAGATTATGATAAATATGTAATGCGAAAACTATACCACGACATAAATTGCTGAAATGAGTTTGACTAGTTTTTGAAAACGATCAATATTATGTTGCTTTCTCCAGAAGCTTTAGATCTCAATCCACTCGAAAGCATTTTGGTCTAAAGTTTTATATGCAAATAACATAACTAGATTAAAAAGTCTTAAAACGAACGCTAATCAATAATTTCTGTATTCACAAAAAGCTGATGCGAATAATGTCAAGAAATCTTAAAGCACTTCTATACAATTTTCGACAGTTTTTTTTTAAACTTTTCGCAGTGCCATTTCAAAAATTTAGGAAAGACTAGTACCGCGCTCTCTTGGGTGCACTTAAGCCCATGGTTAATTGTGGGATTCATGTCGCCTAAAATTATACAATTTCGAAAGACCAATATTTATTTTTCTATAAAATGTGACTTTCGTTCCACGAAAACAATTGAAATTTACAAGAGTATAACTCATGGCCAGTTTTTTTAGTGCACGGTTAAATCTGACTTTGGTTTAAACTTAGTTAAAGCGTTCGAGCTATCTCGTTTAAGCTAAAGTTAGCCAATCAAATGACTGCCCAATGTTAAATATAAACACAGTTTACTCAATCTTTAACTTTAAACTAGCACTGAAAAACTGACCTAAGTAAAACGGTAGTTAAACCCATGTCAGTGGTTTTCAGATAAAAGTCTGTCACTTCGTATGCGCCGATCTCGATCGATTCCAGATCTTCCAAGTACTTTGCATAATAAAAGTTTAACTAGATGATTTTTTTATGTAGACTGACTTGATTCAAAAACGACTTTTAATGACAATACAAGTCATCGAAAAAAATGTTACCATTTTAATTATAAGAATATGGAAATTTGAAGAGCATACACAAATATTTTATGATACTTTACGATTTTTTATTTACTATGCTTTATGTGATCTTTGGCAAAATAACTTACGTCACTTGTTTGGACCCACCCGAGTGAAAATTTCGAACGAAAAATGAATCCAGTTTTAGATTTTGAACAAACTGTTATTTGACCAGACAAAACTGCTTAAAAAAATTTTCTTCAGGAGCCCACAGATTTTGCATTGTTGACCATTTTAAATTTTGTTTTTAGTTTTATAAATTTAATGTGTTAGTTTTTCTACAAAAACTACTTAAGAGTAGCAGAAAATCTGTATGACGTAACAATTGTGTATTGTGTATCACTTTTGACAGGTGAGTTCATAATTGGTAAAATTAGACCAGGTGAAGTAATAAGAGCGAGAATAAAGATTTAACACTACATTATTTGTAAAATATGCCTTTAAGAAAATAAAGCGAGAAAGCTATTTTCTTACTTCACCTGTTTATTATATCACCATGAGTTCATATAAAAAAATTTGCTGTGTTCGACAAGTGTCAAGTGCTAAAACCGCATGAAGATTGGCGAAAAAGAAAAAAAAATATGAAAATAATAACAACAAAGTCTTTTCTCTTTTGAATATAGTTTTACAAAATTTGGTTTCAATATCGTGTTTGTCATTTGTAGTATTGGGTGATGAATTAGGAATGAAGTATTCAAAGATGTTATGAAAACACAAAATGGAAAACGAAATAAAAATTAATGTGCTTGCGTGCCAATTGCATAGTAGATTAAACTAGTGCACTACTTACGTGCATTCATATTCGTTCCATAGGTCCACACATTCGAACGGTTCCGGACATATGACATTCGAGCAAGGTTTATTGGAAGGGCAATTCTTTTCAAGATTCCGTGCCATAGTGGCTTGACCCCATTGCGTACCATTCATAGCCGGTGGTAAAGGCAAATGCTTGCCCTCCAGCCTAAAAAGATTCAAATACACCCACAAATCAAAATGAGTTCGACATGAGTTAGAAAGCCATGCAAACAATGGCCCCGCGGCTTAGCAAACTTCTTAACGCACACAAGCACACATGTACATATGTGGCAGCATTCATCAAGAACACTTCGTTTTTCGCCGTACACTCACCTGATATCATCAAGGCAGCTCTTTTGGTAGTCCGCATACACTTCGAACGTTCGCACGCCTGTATATTCAGCCTTTCCGCCAGCATAAACACCCTCTTGTTTGTCAACCAATAGCCACTGGTGCCCAGCAAATTCAAACGTCTCGTTGTAGCGACGTCCTTCGCCACCATCCAACTCCAGTGTCGCTGCAGAGCCATAACGATTAATACGCACAACATGCCACTGACCATCTTCTACCGCGACCGCGTTCAACCATAAATCTTTCTCTTCCGTACGCAGCGAATTGAGATTGTAGCGGAAGTGTAGACGTGCATCCTTAATTTCTAAAATTCCATATTCGCGGTTATGTTGGTCTGAAACGCGAAACAGTTCCCCATGCTGCTCGCGCGTACGGAAACGCAATTGAATTTGCGTGCTAAAACGATCCGGCTCAAAGCTGAGCGCATATTTAACGTAGCTCTGTTGCTTGAAGGTGGTAGGTATGGTGGGTATGTTACAAGCAGGGCCAGTCCATCCGGGTCGGCATTGGCAGCGTGCTTCTGAAAGCGAGCCAACACAGTTGCCATGTTCCCAACAGCGTGCCGTTTGCTCCGACTGTGAGCAAACTTCCTCCGTTTGTTGGCAACCTGTGACGCTGTTGCGTGAAAGTCCAGGATGCGCCAAGTCATAGAGTTTAGAATTGAATACTAAATTACGTATGCAGCCATCAAAGGCTTTTGCGTTGGGCGCATAATGCCAGAAGTAGAGCGAGGGGTCAAAGAGGTCACGGTATATGCCACCAACCTGCAGTGGACCATTTACATTCAGATATTCATTGAACGGTGGTATTTGTCCACGCGCCTGGCAGGACATGTCATCAAACTCCGGTGGTGTGCCATCCTCCATTTCACTAATATCCGCAGACTTACAAAAATCTATAACCATACGCACATTTTCCGTATCCCAAAAGACATCAATACGATGCCATTCTCCATCATCCAGAGACTTTTTAGTTTTAACACGTAATTCCAAAGTACCTGAGCCGAAGTCTATAAGCAAGCGCGGGTAGCCACGTTCCAGCTCAAGCGCAATGTAATCAGTGATGATCATTTCCTCGCGCTCCGGAGGCACAATGGGACCATTGTAAATGAAAAGGCCATCAGGTTTGCGTGTGATAAACTCCAGACTCAAATGTGACTCGTCGCACATCTCCAACGGTGGGTACCAAGCCCAACCATTTCCGCGGAAGCTGCGCGTAGTCTGCTGACAACGTGGACCATTGTAACCCGCTGGACACGAGCAGTGCGGGCCAAAGCGCGTATCCACACAGCGTCCACCATTGTAGCAAGGTGTGTTGCGACAAGATTCTGGTTTTGAAAAGTTGCGTGCGCCACAAGTACACTCAGCTAAAGTGTCTACGCGCACACCCACCAAGGCAGTCTTATTCGCGTTAACCATATACGGTAACGAGCTGATGTCCAACGTATTCGTACAGGAACCCTCACACATCTGGTTTTCGTATAAGCATTCATCAATGCCAACCATTGTGATATTAAAGCCCACATCCTTTTCGATTTCCTCGCGATTCATCAGCACAATACCGTTGAGACGCACTGGCTTGTAGTATGGAGAGCCATGCGCCGAAAAGCGTATATCGGTAAGTGGTGGATGGCGGCGCTTGAGTTGCACACTGAAAATATCCACGTTCTCGCGATCTGCGTTCAGCAAATCGGCCAGCTTGTCACGGAAACGATCCAATTTAGAGCGACTCAAGCTCTGTGTGCGATAGTTCCAGACGCGTATGAAGTCTTCATCAGTAATGCCGGCAACACGTATAGAGCCTGAGTTGATTACAGCTTCATGAGAGATTTCACGCACTGTTACCGATATATTTGCTGGCACATCAGTTTGGGTGTGTTTGCGATCGTAAACCTTGAAGCGCAAGTGATAACGTCCTTCGCGCGTACCAGCTCGCATTGTTACCATGCCAGAGTCTTCATCTAACTTGAAACGAGGATGTTCTTGAGACTCCCAGTAGAATTTCTTATCAGGCAAATCCCAATCGTCTAGGTCATAAACGTACACGCGGCCAATCGGCGTGTCTGGAGACTGACCTTGATAGTTATACACGAAAATGTCTTTAGATCCTGGTTGCATTTTATTGTCGTTGACATCGCCGATGACTACAGTGAGTGTGCTAGTGCCGGTCATCGCCGGTGAGCCATGGTCCTTAATAACAATGGGAATCATGTACTCCTTTTGTTGTTCACGATCGAAGGAGCGGAGAGAGGAAATAACAGCCATGCCATCGCCATTAGCGCCCTCTGTGGAAAAAAGGGAAAATGTAGAGAAGAAATTAGATATTGTAAAAAAGTATTTAAACTTTTATTTCGAAAGTCATAAAAGGGATACTCCGCTAAAATTATAAAAGTCCAGTCAGTAAAATATCGGAAAGTTTATGGAATATTTAATGTTTTTTATTACATCTTCACTTTATCGTAATTAACGGCTCATTTGTAATTTATAGGCAAATCATCCTGAGTAATTTCACTTTGTAAAATTTGTCAATAAATTAAATAGAAATGATATAATCTATCATAAAACAAGAACCAAATGAAGAAAAAATTATATTTCATTTATTTTAGCCCCCACTGTTGAGCAAATTTGAAAAAAGTGCCTAGAGGTACGCAACCCTTTGTTTTTTGAAATCAGGTACAAACTACTTCAAAGTGACTGTATAGCGTATGGAATTATCACAAGCAAAGAAAAAATTGTTAATTTAATTGCAAAGCTATTAATTTTTGTTCATCTTTAGGAGTTTCCGAAGACAATGACGTAATGAAAAAAAGTTTTCGCAAATTTTTCGATGGTTTTTATTAATTACAGGCATATATGTAATACTCCTATATTGGCAGTAAGAGCTAGTACCGTCCGAAAACACTGCAGTACAGATATATCAATAAACCCGTACGAAAGAAAAGGAACACATACGTTTATAAATAAACATGTACACAACACATGTACAAAAACGGCACTCAAGTACACAATACATTGACAAAAACGGTATCTACTAGACTGTCTCGCTTTGATTTCGGAATGCTTACACATTGAGAAGTTAGCTCACTGCCAATATAGAAGTATTACATATATGATTACAGGCCAACCTATTATTCACGCACGCCAGCAGTTTTCTGTCAAAAATTTCTCATGCGCATACAACTTGTATGGGACCATCCGAAATTGAACGGCACACTATGGGCAATATGAGGCATTTGCTGATCACAAATCTGTAACTTTTTTGTTTTTAAAGTTACAATCATGAAATTTTTCGTGTAGATAGTGTAAACCATATTTCCATAAATGTAAACCATAATGTAAATAAATGTAATAAATGAAAACCATAGTTCCGAACTTTTGGGGAATACGCAGTAACTGCCCGTATCAGCATGCAGATCTTTCTTAACCATTGTGAATAAAGAGTACCTAGCAGGTTATCGGACATATTTTTTCTCGAAAACGAGCGCCCCTATTCTAGATGTATTCCTTACCCATTGTGGGTACTGGAACTGGAAAATTAGTATTGGTACCTGCAACTCACAATGGTCGAGAAACATCTGCATGCTGATACGGGCAGTTTACTGCGTATTCCCCAAAAGTTCGGTGTGAATTGCAGGTATCAATACTAATTTTGCGCAGTTGGAGGACCTAGCAGGTAATCGTCCTTAAAAGTAGGCAGCTAACTTTTTTATCGTTATTTACTCCCGTTTGATTGTAAAATATTGGAAATGTAATAAAAAATTGTATTTCTTGGTAATTCCGTATGCATGTTTTAAGGTAATTTTTTCTAAAAATTATTAGAATCTCACAAATGAAACATCAGGTAAAAGGTGAGGTTGTCTAGTTTTCGAATAAATAATTTTTGTTTGTTAGGTTTTAAGATTTATTATTTATAGGGTTAAAAGCCCAGTGATACTAGTAGCTGCTGAAATCCCGTATTCTCACGTAGTGTCACTTAAAACATCATAACTTCAAATGGCGCAAACTTGCGCAAACTTTTTTCCGTGTAGTAGGTGGATTTTTCGTGCTTTTAATGAATTCAAATTCAAAACATACCCAAGCGGAGAACACCTTCGAATCCATCATCGAAATTTAAAAAAAAACGAAAAAAATGCGTTTTATTACAGAAGCTATTGCTGCAACCTGTTATTTCAAATTAAAATATTTATAGCTAAATTTAAATCTGAATATAACATGTAACTCAAGTCAGTTGGGCAATTCACAAGGTGTTGTGAAGTTATATTTTCCTAACAAAAGTTGTGTTAAAACACGACGGTTGTGAACACCTGTTACGATTATTTATTATATCTCAGCACTTAACCTCACATAACACCGAATAAACATAGGTTGCAGAGTTGTATCGTCATGTGTTATTTTTCTTCACAAAACAATAACAACATTTTTACAACTGTCATGAAATATCATGACTTCACGACAAACACGACAAATACGACACCTTGTGAATTGCCCAAGTATTTCTTAATAGGCCCTTGCTAGGAAAAAAATCCTAAACTGCGGATCTGAATATTATTGCGTTGCGAGTAAAAATTTCAACAATTTGAATATGTCAACTTCTTAAGCAATTTTCACTTTATTTCATTAAATAATAATAATAATAATAATAATAATAGATTGGCGCGTACACATATGTTAGTGTTTGGCCGAGCTTCTCCTCCGACTTGTGGCGTGCGCCTTGATGTTGTCACATAAAGCGGAGGGACCTACAGTTTTACGCCGATCCGAACGGCGATTGTATTTTTATGAGAAGCTGTTTTTCATGGCAGAAATACACTCGGAGGTTTGCCATTGCCTGCCGAGGGACGACCGCTGTTAAGAAAAAACNGGCCGACAAAATTCATTTAATAAACACACAAAAAATCATAAGATCATTAAAGCACGCTTTATTCCCTAAAGAATGATACCAGTGTTCTTTTCAACTTTTCAAAAATGCATTTATGATCAGCCTTTGTACTAGGCCGATTCATCGTGCGGCGTGCGTAAAAACCTAACTTAAATTTCAAGTTTTGTGTTGCGTGACATTTCGATTTGCCGTTTGTGCTCATATGACATTTTGGCGCGACTATTGGTTCAAATTTCGCTCAACAAACTTCTGTAAATTTGACAGAAGTGCAACTCTGAGAAATCACGCACGTAAATTGATTTCGGTTAAACAAATTTGAAAAACTTGAGTGCGTGCGTAGAAAAACTCACGCCGGTAAAAGTAGGTTGAGTACGACAGCAATCGCATGCGTAGGGTTTTGGTTTGCGTTGTTTGGCTACATGACTTGTCAACTTATGTCAAATATGACGCAGTATAGGCCGCCGCCTATTGGAAGACATTACATTACACAGTCACTTTGAGTTTACGAACAGCTTCATAGCACAAAAAAAAAATAATATTAAAAACCCATTCGTACAATAGAAACTGTCAAAATATGCAAAAATATGCCACAATGGGATGGAAAAGAAACCAAGTTCAGTCAAAATAGTGTACAACCTAACAAAATTAAAAAAATATTACGATATAAAATATGAGTTATAATCAGGTCCGAAAAGTTTAGGCTTTTGCTTGGAATTGCTTATTAAGGGTGTTCAAGTTTAATTTTAACGAGCATGCTTATTTTGCTTATTTCAATGTATAAAGCTAAGTACGGACCTTTTAAGAAATAAATTGCTATTATTTCATGTGTGTCAATAGTAGTGGCCAAGGAGTTTTGACATATTATATTTTACAGCCAGCTTTCTCACTTTTTGCCCAATAAATTTTTCTTGATCATTTCTTCGGTGTTTTTTTTATTCGTCGAACTCTTTAGTTTACAAATAATGCCGCAGATTTGGTTTTTATTAACCATTAACTTCAATAGCATTTCTGCTTGGATACAAAAATTTAAAACCAATGGGTCGTCTCTACGGGAAGATTTTTGTGTTATTGAAGAGATTAAATATAATTTATCTCAAATGGAGAATAGCGAATATAAAAAAAAATAAAACGACCAGTGCAGATCTATATTACTTGAGAATATCAAGCGACACATGTATTTTTATTGCAATTTTTCAATCCTGGAAATAAACTGCATAAAAAAAAAACATTCCATCGCCTAAGCGATTTTGGCCGAGTTCAGCAAAGCACACCAGTCGTTTCTCCTCTGTGCTAACTGACGCCAATTGGAAACGCCAAGTCCTTCTCCACCTGATCTTTCCATCGCAGTGGGGGCCTCCCTCTTCCTCTGCTACCACCAGCGGGTTCCGAGTTGAATACATTCAGAGCTGGAGCGTCGGTGTCCATTCGAAGGACATGACCAAGCCAGCGGAGCCGCTGTATTTTAATTCGCTCCACTATTTTCATGTCGTTGTAAAGCTCATACAGCTCATCGTTCCATCGTCTGCGGTACTCGCCGTCGCCAACGCGTAAAGGCCCGTAAATCTTCCTTAAAATCTTTCTCTCGAACACACCAAGAGCCGCCTCATCGGATGTTGTCATTGTCCATGCTTCTGCGCCATATACCAGCACGGGCATGATGAGTGACTTATAGAGCGTGGTTTTCGTACGTCGAGAGAGGACTTTACTCCTGAATTGCCTACTCAGTCCAAAGTAGCACTTGTTGGCAAGAGTGATTCTACGTT